CTGCGACTGCACCCTAAACCCTAAACCCTAAACCCTAAACCCTCGAGATCCACAAGAGAATCCCCAACCCGACACCAGAATCCTAGACACCTTACGCCGGGATATAAGGGCCTTCATGCTTGCTATTCTCTTCTTCAAGAAAGGGTTTAGGTTTTTTTGAAGTGTTTAGGGTTTGGGGTTGAGGGTTTAGGGTTTAGGTTTAAGGTTTAGGGTTTAGGGTTTAGGGTTTAGGGTTTAGGGTTTAGGGTTTAGGGTTTAGGGCTTAGGGCTCAAACTTTTCAAACACATAAGGCTGAGAAGTTTAAGGTTCTCCCGCTAGTTCTCTGAGGTTCACAGGGTTTTGGGGCATGCTATGCTACAAGTACTGTTGATGGACAAAACCCTGCATGACCCTATATACCTAAACTATGGGATTTATGGTACTGTACTATATTTGGGTCATGCAGAATTTTGTCCATCAACAGTATCATCCCCAATTCTGGGGTGTGGATGAAGCGATGGGTTAAGACAGTCATTGCAAATCAGGCTGGACACTTCTCCAAGATCTCGGGCTCCAGTACAAGTGTTTGAAGCAGTCAAAGTCACAATCCCCTGACAGATGATGCTCTCCTTCTTCGTGCTGGAGGCAGTCCTCCGCGTTAGGCGGGGCGACCTCGGACTCGGTTTCGTCCTTCCTTGAGAGCTCATCATACTATACTTGTAATAAGGAGCCCCCCAACAATAGTATTGGAAACTATTTAGGTTCCTATATTATATAGAACCCCGTTCGAGCTTGAAGTCACTGTTGTTTGCTTTATTCCAAGACCACGATGCCAGCAGCTCGAGTAATGTAGGGGCCTGATTGAATTACCGATACCTATGGTCGGGGGATTCCTTGTTATAACTATACTATACATTTGCATAGTACACGCCTAAAACCTTTTTAATTGTAAAGGCCCCTACATGAACTAGTATTAGTATGGCGAGAAGTCACAGACTCCCGAAACCCTTCGAAGACCCTGGGGTCTTTGCTTGAGTGACTCTGGTCGTGACCAGTGGCTTTTAGGGTTTAGGGTTTCGGGGTTTCGTCGAAGTTGCTGTTGCGCTCCTCCCTGACCCCTGCCACGCGCTGCTTTTTGTAACGTACATGCTTGAGCAGTTCGAAGATGAGGGCCGAGGTTGCAACACTTTTCACTGGTTTGGGGTTCATGGTCCGTTGAGATCATCTCGAAGCTTCGAGTTCTCGATATGCTAGACTTAGTTCCCCAATACGCAACCTTTTAACTTTTTGGGTTCTTACAATTCAGTAGTAATCTGAGACTTTAGCCTTTTATTTCCGCGGCTGATTGGGGAATCAAGTAGAGGGTCTACGATGACGCTGAAGTTGAGCATGTGATCCTGACGAGAGTTGCACGCTTTCTGGTTTGGCCGCATGTGCAGTTCTCGACGACGGTGCTTGGATAGTTTACCGTTTCGTCTGTATGTTGGCTAAAGTGTGCTTCGGCAGCCCGTCTTTTGATCCAGAAGCAAGCCTGCATGACTCACTAAGAAGCTTTCGGGAAAGGTTTTCAGAAGAGCTTGCGAGGTGCCGGGGCATTGCATTAGATTGTAGCTGGTACTTGTCGGTGCACTTGCCGCCGTGCGACAGGTGCAACATGATGAAACCTTCTTGAGCAACGGGTACGCAAAGTTGTGCTATGGTTGCAGCTGCAAGCCGCAAGCCTGTAGAATACCTGTACATCTCCGGCCAAAACTTGAAGAATGCCCATCTGCTCCTGCAGCCACGTTCCGCAAGTGCTGCTTGTACGTGCTACATCAGAGACCTCCATGGCTGTACCCCTAAACCCTAAACCCTAAGCCCCAAACCCTAAACCTAAGCCACTGAACCCGAAGCCCTAAACACCCTCAACCCTAAACCCGAAGCCCTAAGCCCTAAACCCTAAACCCTTGAACCCGAAGCCCTAAAACCCTAAAGCCCTAAACCCCTAGAGCCCTAAGCCGCCTGAGCAAGAGTTTGAGATTCCAGGCACCGTGGGTGGGAGTTCTTCACCAGCTCTGAGGCCAAGTTTGCGGTTAGGTTTAGGGATTTGGGGTTTAGAGTTTAGGGGTTTTAGGGTTTAGGGTTTAGGGATTTAGGGGTTTCGGGTTTCGGGTTTCGGGTGTAGGGCTTTAGGGTTTGGGGGTTGAGGGTCTTAGTGTTTAGTGTGTAGGGGTCTGTCTACAGGGTTCCGCGTTCAGACATGGGTTTTGTAGAGTATGTATCATAAGTATAACATGTAAGATAGAAGCTGTAGTATCTTATATGTAATGCATGATATACAACTTGTAGTATGTAATGCATAACATGTAACAGGTAAGATCTTTAATGTACATTACGCAATGACGAACTCATGCTACACACCCTAAAACCTAAACCCTAAACCTTAAACCCTAAGCCCTAAAACCCAAACCCCAAATCCCTATCCCTCGGACCCGGGGTGGGCAATGCTTGCTCGCTGTTTGGCCTGTTGGGGGTTCGGGGTTTAATGGGGACTGGGGCGGTGAGCTTGCTACTATAGGATCAGGGTTTTTTGGGCTCCTTTAAAGGGTTCCTTAATGGGTTCTGCAAGGGCTACTATAAGGGTTTAGGGGCCTAGGGGCTCCTTTAAAGGGTTCCTTAATGGGTTCTGTAAGGGCTACTATAGGGGTTTAGGGGCCTAGATAATTACCAATACTATTTTGGGGGGTCCTTAGTATCAGTATAGCATAATGGGGCCCGAAACCCTATTCTATTTGTTAAGAAGGATGTGGGGTGGGGTACCTTGTCGCAGAGCTAAGCAGGTGTTTCTCGGCATGTGTGTAGGCTTTAGGGGTTGGCCCGGGTTGGTGGTGACAGTCGTAGTGACGTCAATGGAGAGAGCCCTCTGTAGGCTGTACACCTCAAGCATGAACCCATCGTCCCGTGTGACCTGCCGCCTGCAGGATGGTGGTTGGAACATCTTGGACATGACCATTGCAGGGGTGCCTAGATCAAAGGCGACGGATGCCAATCCTGCTCCCAAGACCTCACTGCAGAGGCCAGGAGTTTTAGTTTAATGCTTGACAAGTTGCTGCTCTTCTACTCACCCCTCCGCCACTTTAAGGACCATGAACCTTGATCTCTAAACCCTGAACCCAAACCCTCAAA